ATTTTGAAGGAAGGTCAGCGCTGGTGCTTCGATGGGAGCATCCAGCATTTGTGGCTGAGCGAGGGCCCAATCCTGTCAGCATTGCAACGCTAATGTTAAATATTTATTTTTCTTTTTTTTTTCATAATTGTAGTGTTGACAAGGATTAAACATTATTTTATTTTATTTTATTTTATTTATAAAAGATATTTCTTTCATATAAATTATAGTCACCTCAGTCAATATTCACTTATTCCAGCAGTTAAAGATTTGCCTAATAGAGCTAATTCCATATTAACTTTCTTTAGCATTTCCCATAAATATGTCAAATTACCCTAATACTGTCTTTCAATCTTAATTATTTTTAATCATAAATCTTATAATTACTCCGGTCTGTCAATAAAGTATTGTACATTTAAATAACTAGATGTTTATATTTAAAGAAGGTTATCAAATGATATTGAGAAGAGTAATATTTATAATCAAAACAATTTGAACAAGCTTTATGAATGCTCGACCGGCAGTATATACGAAAGATAAAGTTGACCAAATAATTAATTTACTATAGAACCATATCGTAAAATGTTAGTTAAGATTTTTAAAAGAAAACCAACATTTTTTAAAAAAGCTTTGCATATGAAAAAGTTAGTATTTTTAGTAAAAAGCATATTGTATTTGTTAGTATTGATAGTGAAGTTAGTAAAAAAAAACAAAACCGACTTCCAAACAAAATACACTAAAAACAAAATACGAGTATTCTCAAAAAAACAATACACTAAAAAGTAACGAAATAATTCCTTTAAAATAGTAAACCTCCCTTATTGTAACTGTTATGTCTATATTGTACTATTATTATTACTTTGATGTCGGTGTCAGCCTAAGTATGCAGGGATATTTATACGTAAGGCTTTCTACATTTGTACCATAACTATTGACAATTTAAAGTATAGAAACGTTTAAGTAATGAATCTAAATTGACTGAAACCGACTTCAAAGTAATAATAATTCTACAATACAGACATAACAGCTACAATAAGGGAGGTTTACTATTTTGAAGGTATTATTTCGTTACTTTTTAGTGTACTGTTTTTTTGAGAATATTTTGTTTTTAGTGTATTTTGTTTGGAAATCGGTTTTGTTTTTTTATTTAAAAGTTTATTTATTTCTCGATTTTTAGTGAATCTAAACATTGCAGTATGATAATCACTAGATTTCAAACAAAGTATGAGAAGAAATTAAGTAAAGAACTAATACATCGTTGCGACCATTCACTCATAATTCTGTCCAGCCGCGCGCCGCTGTTGCCCGTGAGTTTTAATATTTTGATAACTTCTAGAATATTGGTCAGAATTACTTACTGTAAAAGGCAATTATGATCTACATTTAATACTCTATCGTGAAAACATATTTATTTAGATAAGGATTCATACCAAATCAGAATAAAAGCGTTTTAAATGAAGTCGATTGCATTTATTTGACGGTTTTCGCGAAACAAACGGTTATTGTGCGACAACCTTAAGAGATAGATATATGCTATCGCGGACTTTTATTTAGCTAATTAAATGAGCTACAATTCTTTCATACATCATTTTTATGTCGGTCTTATAGTTTAGGCTACGTAAGCTAAGAAAAAAAACTTTGATACAAGTTGGTATTTTTTTCTGCGACTCGTAATTTGCTTTTTATTATATCTCCTAAACTATTGATCGGAATTATATAGTTCCAAGGGTATTTATAATCTACATTAAATTCTCTTGATGATGGACACATTTATTTGGATAAAGATTCATACCGAACACGAGTAATAGTGTTGAAACTGGGGTATAGATTTCGAGCGATATTTTAATGAAAAAAGTGGTTATTGTGCGACAACCTTAATAGATAGATATATGCTATCGCGGACTTTTA